CTGAAGCATTTGAGCTGTACAAAAAAAGCAAGATCAAGAATGAAGAATAAGAATGAAGCTGGATTCAATTTAAGGAAGTGGATGTCAAGTTCTAAGAGGCTGATGGAATGAATCGACGAGGAAGAAGGAGTACCAGTTGAAGAAGTGGTCAAGCTATCCGAAGAAGACATTACGTATGCACAGACTCAGTTTGGAGTTCAAGGTTGTTCAGAGACCGTTTCGAGCGAGAAGAAAATTCTTGGATTTAATTGGAACATTGAAAGAGACACGTTCGTTTTCCAATTTGACTGGTTGATGGAATTCGCTAGAGAATTACCCTTAAATCAGCGCACTGTACTTAAGTTTGTGGCCAAGTTGTACGAAACCATTTTCAGGATTAAGCTCTTAGCGTCACTCATACCATCCAGGCTGATTATACCCGAGTCCGTTCAGCCCTACTTCCGTTGATCAAGATTAATGAAATATTTTGCTGGACAGATTCCACTACGACTCTTCACTGGATCAAGGGGGTGGACAAAGAAAACAAGCAATTCGTTGAGAACAGAGTTGAAGAAATTCGTCAGAACGAGCCGCCCGAAGCCTGGAACCATTGCCTTGGAACTCAGAATCCCATAGACTTGCCCTCCCGTGGTATGGGATCAGATGCATTGAAACAGTCACAATTATGGTGGCATGGTCCATTTGAGCTCGTGAAAGAAAGGAATATTTGGCCCTATGGTGGAAACTCCCACGAGCCTTCAAGTGCTTATTTTGAAGAAATGCGTCTAAAGGATAGAGGAAAACCTACCACTGGGCATCTTGTAGACTCTTCGATGATATCGTTGACAAGTATCTTCGAACCTCAGAAGTACGATTAATTTAAGAAGCTGATGCAATTAACAGCGCTGGTGTTTAGAGCCATGCAGAATTTCGAAACCGGAACACGTAATAAGGAACCGAGTAGCCCTTTGAGTACTGGAGAGTATGCCTACGCAGAAATTCTATGGATCCGCGAAATGCAACAGTCCGTAATTAAGTCACTGAAATTTAAAGAATTGAAACAACAGCTAGGATTGTTCACAGATGAAAATGAGTTGCTCCGATGTAATGGAAGACTACAGAATGCTACGATTCCATTCAAGGCCAAGTTCCCAATTTCCTAACATCAGATCAGTACCTAACCGTTATTATGATTCAAGATTGCCACAAGCGAGGCCTTAATAACGGAGCGGGAGAAATTCTGGCAGAACTATGGTCTAGATTCTAGATTGTGAAAGGAAGACGAGTCGTTCGAAGATTCTTTCAAAATGCGTGGATTGCAATAAGATAGAGGGACAACATTATACCATCCCGACGACCGCGCCCCTGGCTCAATTTCGTGTGGAAGAGAATCCTGCCTTCACCAACACTGGAATCGATTTTTCTGGGCCGTTGTTTGTTAAGAGTGGCTATAAAGAGAATGGTAGTATGGAGAAAACCTGCATCGTGTTGAACACTTGTCGAAGTAGCAGAGCCGTTCATCTTGATATTGTACCTGAGACCTGAGCACGGAAACATTCATTAGAAGCTTTAAACGTTTCATTTGCAGACGAGGTATACCAAAGCTAGTTGTTTCAGATAACGCCCAAACCTTCAAAACTGCTGCTAAGTTCTTATCATCCCTCTTTGAGTTACCAGAAGTTCAGAGTTTCCTTTTGAGTCACAAGATTAAGTGAGATTCAATTTGGAGTTAGTGCCGTGGTGAAGCGGTTTCTTCAAACGCATGATTTGTTGTATTAAACTTTTTCTCAAGAAAATTTTGAAGAACGCGTAATTGACGTATGACGAGCTTTTGACTGCTGTGGTGGAAGCGGAATGTGTACAGAACTCGAGACCACTCACATATGTATCCTCAGACGATACAGAGGAACCTCTTACGCCTTCTCATCTGTTGACAGGGAGGAGAGTTCTGTCCATCCCTGACGAATTTGCAACCGCTGAAGAAGATGAAACTGATGTCCAACTCCTCACCAGAAGGCGTTATTTTTCTAAATTGATCGGTCAATATTTGGAACCGTTGGAAACGTGAGTACGTGGTGGATCTAAGGGAGCACCAAAGGCCTGCTAATGAAGGTGCCAGCGTCGCACAATCAGTTGCACTAGCTGATATTGTCACCGTAATGGAAGAAGGGAAGTCAAATCGTAGTACTTGAAAACTTGGAAGGATTAAAGGGGTGCATCCTGGAAACGATGGAGCTACTGTGGAAGTTGCTTTGAGCAGTGGCAAAAGAAAATGTCCGACAAGACCCTTACGTTAGGAGTTCGAGAAGTTGTGGGCACGGAACAAGTTCCAGCAAGACCGGGAGCAAACACTTTCAAAAGCGGAGGAGTAGTGCCGCCATCACAGGGGAAGTTAGAAGAGGAGAATTCGATCAGTTTCTTCAAGAACAAGAGGACTCCTTTTAAAGGAAAACTTATCGAGGCGGAAAGATGTAGAAAATCTCTTTCGTTTGGAAATTTCAAGTAGCAGTTTTTCTCTTCCTCTCCCCCATTTGTTTTTTTTTTGTTCTCTTTTTGTATTCACGCGCGGCGCGCGTGTTTTCACAAATCAAATTAGCCAACACGTAAAAGAACTTTAACCTTGACATTGGAAAACTAACATGGACATGTTTCGCGTATTTTTAGTTTGTTTTTCGCGGAGTTTGCTATTTTTGAGCTTTCGTTCGCGTAAATTTGTTACTACTTTGTTTGGAATTTTAAGAAGTTTCGGAGTTTTTATTTTAATCAAATGTTGTGGTTCATTTAGCAAGTAATGGGCTCTTACTTAATATACTTTTTCTAGTCTCTTTTTTCGTTCCATTTAAGTTCCATTTAGACCATCATATGAGTTAAGCTTTCGCTTTACTAATCCTGATGATTATTATGATTTAAAAGAAAGCTTCAATTATGTCAGTTTTTTATGTATGTTTGTTCTCCTGTGTCAAGTTCGCTTAAATTATCTGATTATCTTTCTTGAAGATCAAACTGCATCTTTTTGTCCTCATCCTGAAGGAAACTGATCTGCTTAACCAATCTAGAGTTAACATCTACAAAGGGAAATAAAATAAATCATTCAAACTTTATGAACTGAAAGTGCTCCTGCAAATGGAAAAAATAAAAAACAACAAAAACAACAACAACAAAAAAAGAAACAAAAAAGCAACTTTGTTAATAAATCAACCTTATCAGGTGTTATTGGCAATAAAACAAATAAATCAACTTTAAGAACAGATAACACTCTTTCAAGTGGTAAAAAAACCTGACAATTCCTTCATTTTTGCTTCGGCATTAACCGCCGCCTTGAGGACCAAATTTTTCACATAGAAAAAGACACTTTCTTCCATTTCAGTAATTTAGTCCTCAAGGCAAGTGTTATTCGTTAACAATTCGGATTTATCGGCTGAAAAATCTCATTAAAACAGATAATTACTCCTGCAAGTACCTAAAACGAAAAAAAATGTCACCTGACAATTCCTTCACTTTTGCTTCGGCATTAGCCATTGTTTCTTCCATAACGAAAATTTTTTCCTCAAGGCAACTGTTTTCATTCAACAATTCTTTATTATCGGCTGAAAATGGCAACAAAAAAAAGTAAATCTAACTTTAAAAGCAGAAAACACTTTTTCAACTGGTAAAAAGCGAAAGAAATTGTTACCTGACTATTCCTTCATTTTTGCTTCGTCATTAGCCACCGCCTTGAAGACTAAATTGTTCACACGGAAAAAAACGGTTTCCTCCATCTCAGTAATTTGGTCCTCAAGGCAAGTGTTCTTCGTTAACAATTCTGTTTGTCTGGATTTTCTTTCTTTTTTTTTTTTTTGATGTACGCAATAATGATAAATTACCAGCTACCTTTGTTAAAAATCGTGTTTTGAATAATTTTGTGTTGCCAAGTATTAACCCGCTATGTTACACATACCTAGAGAAACC